TTTCATTCTCCCATTCACAACCACAAAAATCACACCTAACCCACTCAATTAATCAACTCAACATCCACATATATCCATCCCTTCCAGACAAATAACTGACTCTATTTCAATTCAAACACCAAACTACGAAAAAATTTATAAAATTCTCCAACAGACACTACTAGCCTTCCCCTCTGATATCTCCCCAGCTCCAAGTAGAATGCATAGAATTTGCATTTTCAGTCGATATGGTGGTCGTTCAACATTCGCTTCGAATCCGCTAACCCCACCACTCGGCACATCCACCCCGACACACACACGATTCGGTACCAATTCCGGTAACAACAACAACAATCAAACAACCACCAACATTATGGAAGAATCACGTTACAGTGCGCCTGGTGGTGCCGCTAGCACTACGAACGGCATGGACGACTCGCAAATTAGTCTTAAAGAACAAGGTGGTTACTATTAATGCTGCTGCTGCTGCTATTACCTTACTTAAAAGTGCCACCTCTATATATCACTAAAATAGTGCGTGCAGTTACAGATGTTGCTCAATCTTATATATCCTCATCATCGCATCACCCTTCGATGAGTGGTAGTGTTATTGAATATGGCGGTAGTCGACTTGAAACACTGCAACCATCAAAAGAAATCGAAGGTATCTTCTTAATCTTGCACTCACATTAATTACCTACTACCTTTACCTTACCTTACCTTTACCACCTGTCAACTACTAGCTTTATTCATCAAAATTATCCTTTCAGAGGCTGATCGCTAAACAACTGCCTGCCAACAACATCAACTACTCAATAAAATAGCGCTGAACGACGAGCATTATTCTATCTATCCAACAACAAATATCTTCCGTCAACACCCTTCCAGCAGCATCTGCAGTACCACTCCTCTTCTGATGATCTCAGATCAGCAGCAATCACTCATCAAAGGCTCAAGCAATCCAATTCTCAATATTCCACGCAGTACACCACTACTTCACTTTTCATTTTTCTGCTCGCTCGCTCGTTCATTCAGTGCTATTTAATCTAACTCAAACTCAAGATCACATTAGATCAGATCAGATCA